ATCACACAGCATAACAAAGTGGGGAATGCATTGGCTAGAGAAAGTAGTCATCGACAAAGATAGCGAGGAAAATTCTGAAGGTGAGGATTCAGGGTAAGTGGCTGTGATGAACAAGGTTGGTGTCTGCTAAAAAGATAAACTTCCATAGGAGCCCTTTAAAATAGAGATAGAAGGTGAAGGTAAAGAAAAACACAGCTTTTAGACTACTGAAATTAGCGAAGCTGATTAATGGTTTTTACCTCCTTGTATCACTAGTGCAACAATTTATATACAATCTATATACTCCACAGCAAAACTAAATAACGTAATGGGCTATACGCAGTCAGGAGCAGCTCATCTATTTGGAGCTGCCCAATTCCCATAGCAATTAAAGCTACAGAGGAAAAGCATTTCCTTGTATCAGAAGGAGAGAGAGAGAGTCGAGACCTGCTTTTTACTTTCCCTAACTCCACAGTATTCTTGCCATTCACATACAGTAAAGGTGGAGACTGGTGAAGAAAGTGGAGACCACTGCTGTATTCATGTCAGTGGAAAATTCTTTCCTCAGGGGAAATTCTCTGCCTACCTCCTCTACCAGGCATCCTGTGCTCAGCACACCTCCTCCACTCTGGCAACAATGAGATTCACAGACTAGGCTAAGATTTTATTGGCTTAATCTTGCTAAGAATGGAAAACACCAACATCTCCCTTGTGCTCATTTTTTAAACAACTTCCAGTAACCAGTTCTAGAATTCTGTGCCCTAGCTTGGTTCTCCTTATTAATTGAGAGCTATGAAAAAGACAATAATCAAAACAATCTGGAAACAATTACTTTTAGTGTTCTCTTTATAAATATAAAGCCAGCATAATAATAATCTTTTGACCAGACATTGCATAATAGAAATTAAGGTATGCTGCCAATTCCAGAGAAGTACCAAGATCAGCAGTCACCCACACCTCCCTTCTCTCAAAAAAGAAAAATGAGTCCACAGAGCAAGCGTGCCCTGTGGAAGTGGAAGTTGTCAACTTAGGAAAACTTAGTAACACGTTGCCATCTCTACAGAGCAGGCTAAGTTGTTGCTCACTCAGTCCTGTGGCCTGGCAACAGCCACATCACTGCAGAATTTCCCAACTGCATCTGTCTGACTAATGAAATTTGGGTGTTGTGACAGCTACTTCTGTACACATAGCATGGATAGGACTCCCATAAATCCCAGTCAAAATTTAATTTGACTAGAAGAAGAGATTAATAACAGTCAAGTCTAACATCCACCACTGGGCCTATTCTACTCTCAGTAAAGGTTTTTTAAATTCTTTAAGATTTCAAAGTAAGAAAAGTTTCAAAGTTTGTCCTGTGACCCTACTGATTTTGGCTTCCTGATAAGGGATTTCAGATTCTGCAGCTGTGTCTTAGCCTTCTTTAGCACATGCATAGGGTCTATTTCATATATCAGTTACACCTTAACAACATAGCTAGCTTTGAATAAAAGCCAATAGGCTTTTGGAAAAAAAATTTATTTTGAATGAGCACATCTGTAGAACTATGATAGTACAATGATGAAGCATTTATTTTCTTAACTTGAATGTGTATTTTACTGTTAAAAACATTAAGTATACTGATCATTTAAATAAATTCCTTTAAAGCCAATGACATCAGCATATGATACCAGATTTTCATTGAGACAGCTTTAGAAAGCTCCTGCCTCCTGGCAGCATTTGCTCAGATTAGAAGTTCCTGAAGTTTGCCCACATCTCTGATGGTTGTTATGATACAGGTAATCATGTCAGATCTGAAACTGTTGTCCTGGTAACTAGTAAACACATCCAGTGAAACAGATGCATGTGGTAAGAGGAGCATGCAAGCAAAACCACTGCACTATTTTCTCTTCTTGCATGCTTTAGAATTGTTAAAAGTGTTACAGTTACCAATGGTGCCAAACAGCATCATGAAAACATTCAAAAAAAAACCCACCAAAACCATTACCTTGAGATTTTGTATTTCACTGCACTGGCAACTGAAACATGAAATTAGGAACTATGGCATCTCAGACCTTCTGCAGTTAGAGTCAGCTCTGCTCCTGCAACCCTTCCCTGCCCTCCCACCTGCATGGAGCAGGGATTAACAGGCCAGCAAGGTGTCTGGCCACACTGGTCTGTGGGATGAAGCCTGCCACTCCACAGTGCTTGTCACAGGGTTCTACTGATGACAAAATGCTGAAGCTGTATAAGTTACTTAGTTTCCTATGGATGTGAGGCATGGTGGAAACTAGTGGATACATACTACAAAGTGTTTGTGAGCATTTCCTCTACAGGCAAAAATGAAGAGAACAAGAAAAATCACTCTGCTGATACAACTGATGTTTAAAACTGCACTTACACTCATCATCCAAAGCTGTAGTTGAAGCAAATATTGTTGGTGGCTGAACAAACAGGGCTTCTCATGTCCCAGTGTCTCATATAACCTACTAAATACTTAAATGAGGGTCAGGAAAAGTATACAGGCATCTCAGCTGTCTATAGGAGAGGCTCATGTTCTGGGTCAGAAATCACTGTGGCTAGGAAGGAATGCAAGGCATGACATACCCTTGCAATGCAATCACTGAATTGAAAAAAAAAATTCATGGAGAATGTCTAGCATAAATTACTGTTTCCATAACCATTGGCCCAATATGTTACTCATACTGGAAACCTTTTGCAACTAATTGAAATTGAGCTGTCTGGAGGGACTTTATCAGACTTGGTTTGCAATGAAGTGACACTCAGTAAAGTTAGTTTCAGCAACCACGGTGGTGGAACCCTGTGCCAATACGACAGTGAAGCCCACGGTTTGCATTTGTAATCCCACACATCTGCAAGACTAGAAATGAAACCCACGCTGAACTACATTTGTTAGACTCTCTCAACCCACTTCTGAAAACTCCATATACAGGGCAAATTTATGCAACTGAAATTATTTAGAAGAGTCAAACAAATATTAACCTATTTTCAAATATGTTATTGTCTACACTTCAAGATTTTATTTTCAGGCTTTGGAGATGCACACCTACTCTATAAGAAAGAGATTGCTTCTCCAATGAATTCTTTGTTTTCCTGGTGAAAAAAAAATATAAATAAATCCAGCCTGTTTGTTATGGTTGGCCTGCAGTGGTAACCTTGGCTGGATGAGATGCATTATGTCAACATAGCATTGTTGACTTTCTTGTTGTACTTGCACATTCCAGCACTCTACCAAAAGAGAAGGATAAAAAAAGGCTAGTAAGCAATATAGACATATATATTGAAAAATCTTTGCTGGGCTGAACAAAACAGACTTTGAGCTCTACTAGGCCCACGGCAGCCATGACACCAGGCAAAGGTGAGGGGGAAATCAGTTCAGCTACCCCCTCAGGATGCCTGTGGGGCAGGAGGAGATGGCAGCTGCATGCTCATGGCCCACTGCTCTCTCAGAGAAAAACTGGTGAGAAAGAGAAATAGATGAGTGAAGATGTGCCTCTTACCTTTTTGCTTACAACAGGAGTTTTAATCTCCAGCATCCCCACATGGATAGTATAGTATATAGTGCATAGTATATAGCGTACAGAGTGACAAGCTGAGAAAGACTTGTAGCTCTATGATGGTTATGCCTTTGGTCTCAAACCTATCTGATATCACTAGAACTTTTGTATACCACAGCCTTGCCTTTTTAAAAAAAAAAAGAAAAAAAAGAGTTCTCCCCTGCCTCAATTTCATTTTTGCATTCATCCCCATGTGAGGAGTTCTGTGACTAAGCCTGTAGCCAGCAGAAGCACAGGAAATGATGCGTCTTATGCTGGTCACCATGGCAGTAGGATTTCAATAGGAGGGTGTTTCCTCTAGAGAGGAAGAAAATCTTTCATGCAGCCGCAGCAGAGCTGTAACTTACAAAGCTGTAACTTACAAAGCTACCTTGAAACCACAATGTGCTCACTGAGGACTGACTCCAAAACCTGCTCGAGAAGCTGAGCAATTGGTGCCTCTGCAGTGCTGAGGTGTCTTCCACCCTTGTTACATTACTGGCACTTTGCAAGTGAGTTACTCCAAAGCTATTTAAAAGTAATTACAGAACTGATTGCACTGTAAATATTCTCTCACTACATCTGTGTCTACAAATGTCTGTCAAGCATACCAACAGCTGGGACACAGTTCTGTTCTAACAGAAAGCCTCTTTGAAAACAGCCTACAGAAAAAGAACACGTTTGAAGAAATTGTGTGATTCTATAAAGGTTAACTGAATTGAAGGATAACTTGAAAAGTTATTCCAATTGAATTATAGAAGAGTCACTTATGGCTGTGGGGTTTTTTGTATCCCTTTTTCCAGTGCCTCAACTAAGAAGAAAAAGCTTTGGGTTTTCCTAAAGTTCAGGGAAAAAAAAAAAAAAAAAAAAATCAACAACCTTTTTTAGATAAAGTGTTGTGAGATTAAATGTTAATTTTGCTGAGACAGTCTGGAGACAAGTAAGCCTAACCTACATGGGTCAAGTCTGAATTAGTTCTTTTTGACAAAGAGAAATCTTTGTTGAACAAAAACATCTCCAGTATGGACTAGAAATTAATTTTCAGCTACAGGGAGCTGGGCTGATTTAAGACTCCAGCAAACATGTTTTACATAATTCATACGAGAAATACAATGGGATATTGTTGGAATTGTCTGTCAGGGACCCTGCACAGCAGCTGAAGTTCTTGAGGATGACTTCATTGCACTAATAGTGCCAAGTCACATATAGCACTCGTCTCCTATGGTTAGTACAAAGTTGTTCAAAAGTTAGAAAAGCAATGAATTTAAACCCTCAAGACAGTAATCTATACTGCGCATAAACCCCATTATCAGTACCAGTCCAAGCATCATGTATATTACAGTACAAGAGCATTACTGAGAGAATTCATTTAAAGGATAAATCTCTTGACACTACAGAAGTTGATTACTGTTGGAATACAGCCATTGGCTGCATTACCATATTCTGAGTAATCCATTCCTCAGTCTTTGGAAGAGCCTGTCATCTTACCTATATGTTGTTTCATCATCTAGAAGGCTTCTTCACTATGCAGAGTTATCTTTATCTCATGATGTGATTTGGACTCGGGTGTAGGCTTAGTAACCTCCATGGGGCTTATGAGAAATGTCCATTCCATGTCAAATGAGCAGCCACAAACATTTGTAAAATTTAAGAGTCAACACAAAACATCTACAAAGCAAAATAATTGTTAGACCATCTGTATAATCAATGAAAACTATATCTAAAGGAATATTATATAATTTAATAATATTAAGATGTTATAATAATGAAATAAGCAAGAGAGTTAGGCACAGTGAGACAAAGAGAATAAATAGGATGCTACCCATGTTGTGGGCTTGCTCAGGAAAGACCAGTGGAGTGGATCCTCCGAAGAGAGAGAGATCCTTCCCCACTGGTAGTCAGCTCTTAAATGGGCCTAGGAGAGGTGCAGCCAGGCTCCACCCCTTCCTGCAGCACAGGTGAATTGCTTTCACCTGTGCTCCCAGGGCTGACTCATTGCTTGCCTCAGGTGATTAATCAGAGGTTCAGGCCGTGACTCAGCAGTTCCCATACACCATCCTACACAGGCATAATAACTCTATAATAATAACCATACATATGAGACAAATTATCAAAAAAAATCCCATAGACATGGAGTCTACATTTGTAATGGGAAACAAGACACCTTTACAACCCCCCCAAAATGGACTTCACCACTCTTTGAGATAATTTATCTTTTCCTTCTCCAGCTATATGCATCTTCTTTATATGTTTAATAAATTTTCTACTCCTATAGTCCACAATACTGTAGGTTTTTTTGTTTGTTTTTTCTTTTTTTTTTTTTTTTTTCATACCATCAACTTAAAATCCCATCCTCAACCCCAGCCAGCCAGAGTACACTGTTTGAATATTAGACGTAGAACTGGCATGCAAAAGCAACTCTTAAAAACTTGGTCTCCTCTGTTTTGGGGTGTGTGAGCCACGTCCTCTTCCCTTTTGTAAAAGCTAACTAATCCCAGAGTGGCTAACACAATGCACAGTCAGTTTATGAGACACATTGGAACCAAGGATTTGGCACAAGAACTCAGACTGAGGAATCCAGTAAAAACTTGGCCCTGAGCTACAAATGTTCTGCCTGTTCTGGGCATCTCAAAGGAAGATCTGAACAATTGCTTCATGTAATTAATAATTTCATTGCTGTGCCCTGCCCCTTCCTCAGAAAAAAACATCATCATTTCCTGGTATATCATGGCAAGAAGACATTATGCTATTGATGCCTTTTGTAAGTGATGGACCTGGGAGAAAGAGAAGAACGAAATCCCTGCCAAATGTAATGGGGAATTTTATTTTATTTTATTTTTGGATAGGAGTCCTTTAAGCAGTTTCTTTTGAAAAAGCTTGGCCAGAAAGTAGCAAATCTGTAAGTGGCAGGGTTCATTAATGACACACTAGAATCACTTTTTTCAGCCTTTTCCAAACGAGAAAATGGATAGATGAATGGATGGATGATTTATCTTTGAAGATGTTTGCAATCTCAAAGTTTAAGACACACAAGTCTGTAGATATCACTTTCTATCCCAATGTGACAAATGAATGCTCATTCATGCTGTTGAAGTCTACCTGTGCCAACAGCTGACCACAAGGATAACAATTGGGCACCAGTCTTGATAGCAACGTGAAGACAAGAAAGTCAGCAGTATAGCAAGGGACAGAAAGAAACTCCACACATTACATAGTGTTACACAAATATTCTATTGAAGTTAAACAAAATGTAAAAGGCTTTATGAAGTGCCTATGGTGACCCCTGAGTAATTTCTTGTAAAATTAAATACCTATATACTCATTAAGATGTACTTTGAGATTGTTTACATGGATATGGATGGAAAATAAGGTATTCTAGAAAAATTGTCTTTACATAAAGATTCACCACAGCCCTTTATTCCATTTGTGGCACCCAATCATAATTAAAGGAACATGAATATAATGTTACAGTGTGATGAAAAGCACATCAACAATAGCAGAGTAGCAAAGCCCCAGACTGTATCAAGTGAGGATTTGCTCAAATATAACAACCACAGAAACAAAGAAAAAAAAATCCACTTACCCTCGTAAGGCCTCAGGTAAGCAGGGACCACCAGCAAGATACTGCTTCCCTGCTAACCCTTAAATGATGTCTGGGAAGGGGTGGAGCCAGGATCCAGATGCATGCACCTGAACTCCCCTGGGTGGCCCTGCCTTCCCAGATGCTCAGTTACTGTTTCAAGCTGTGACTTAGCATTTCTGCTGCAATGAACAAGTTCCTATACAGGTATAGGGGTGTGATGTGAACAGTGCAGAAAGAATTTCTCCCTGTTCCTTCCTCAACTAATTTGTGATGAGCTAGGCAAGCTGTGCACCGTAGAAGAACAATTAGATGCTAGCTCTGTCAAATCAAAGAATTTGAGGCCACAGGACCTGTTAATAAGCACTGGGTAGCAGGGACTGACAGAGTGGTCTTTCAGCTGTTCCTGTCAGCAATCTGTAGCTCCTCTAGTTTTGTGTCAGTCTCAAGAATGAGTCAGTAAGAAAGAGTAACAATAATTATTGTCTGTCTTTCCTGTATTTTCTCCCAAATGTCTTAATGTTTCTTCAAGCTCTAGAAATGTTAAGTGAAATTTGTTTTCTTCTCAAGCCCTTCTTTTCTGTGCTCTTGTAATCATTATACGAGTATTCAACCACGTCCTACATCTTCTCTTGTCCCCCCACTTTCTGCATCTTGCTGTACTGTAATTTAACCACAGTGCAGATTTCATTACCATATTCCTTATTTTTCCACTCAGCAATGTGATTTGGAAATTGACATCCTTCTGCTACTGAATTTGGTGTCTTTTCCTCCCTCACAGAAATAGGAAGATACGGCCCTGATTATACTGTGTTCATTTATTCTGATGTCTTCCTCAGTCTATGATTTCTGTTGCCATAATTTCTCACCATGTGCTGTTTTCTTCTGTACATGCATCTACATGGCTATCCAAACACCTATTTTCTTATTCCTACTGCAATTAATCTCTTCTAAAAATCCAGTTTTTCTGAGTAAAATGGACTTCCAAGTCTATAAAAAATAATTGGATCAAAATATGAGCATAACTGCTCTCATTTACACTTAAAATCCTCATGCACCTCTCTTCTTTTGTTCTGTGAGAATTTTGCCTAATTTGACTTTGGCAAAATGAAAGCTTCATAAACAAGGAAAAAAAATAGCTGAAATTTCAAATTACTTTTTTTTGGAGATCCAAATTAAGACTGAAACACTTGGCATGTTCTGCAAGTTAATTTTGCTTAGAGTTTAAGGTGAGCATTGAGCCTCAGCGTATGCCATACCTTTTGTCAGCTTGGAAAATCTTGGCCTTTATGACCCAGTCATTGCTAAAGATACTTCTGAGAGTCATCAGTTAGTGCTATTACCATTACATGCAGTGAGTCAGAGCATTCCAGTTGGTTTCTTCTCTTTTAGGGATGAATTACGTTAATTGTTATACCTATGAAAGAACTGAAAAACATATAATTCTCTGCTCTGCGCTGCTAGAATTGTGCATGCTGTTTGAGACAACCCCAGGACCTGGACAGAGGTGTACTGGCTTTGGAAATGCCTGATTCGGTAAAAGAGAGACAAAAGGAGACAGAAAAAAACCTGCTCTGCCTACCAGAAACCATAACGGAGGGGAACTTTATGTGCAACAGTAATAATAGCATGCACAAGTCATAATCAGAACACTTCCCCAGTGATGAAAGACCCGCCAGTTTCATATCATTCATCTGACATTAAAATATTGTACTGCAGAAAGATGTGGTTAGTTTTGAGTATGTAACATAGTCATTCCCTTGAAAAAATCAGTGGATACTCACAGACATTTGCTGTGTTTTGTAACAATGACAACTACCACAGGCAATACAATTTTTAAAATAACTTTCATAAAAGAACTTTTAATTTACTTCCTGAGATCATAAATTGTCGAAGTTACTTAGAAAAGGAGGCTTAAGGGCCCGAACATTTAGTTGTTAGTAAATTTTTGGGTTCACAAACCCACATCAGCTTCTCTCAAGGCTTTTGGGATTCAGAAAAAGCAGTTTTTCTTTGGGCTCAGAGGAGGTGTTTTCAGCACAATATACAAAGTGCTGGAACAGGCTGCAGGAAGCATCGTCCTTCCCCTAGCCCAGCTACACCCAGCTCCCAGCCAGAGGGAAGGACTGCCCCGCAGAACTGTTACACCAAAATTTACAACTATTTATTTGGAAATAGGAACCTAGGGCCTTTCTGCTTTCAAAACCAGAGAAGCCCGAGTCTTCTCAAGCCACAGCTGAAGGAGGAAGTGGAGGAAGTGCTCTTTTCACTAGAAGTTACGGTGTACAGTCAAGCAGCAGTCCCAGCACTTGTGTGTCTGAATATTATGGAGATTCACTATTCAACTGCTGCAGGACATTAACCCTCTTTCATATTCTCCTGTTGAAGCAGTCCCTCTTGCATAGAGCGTGTTCAATATTCATGGACCTGAGGGAAGTGTGAAGGAAAGCCTCTGTGGGCAAATGCCTTCCAGTCCTCGCTCCCAAAAGGACTCCGGGCTGCTTTATGGAACTGACAACAAAGGGAACTGCATTTGCATTGCAGGATGTTTTGGCTGGGTGTCTTAGGCTTACAGGTCATTATATACTTTCTGGGGGAAAAAGTACAGAAGTTTGATTGATGAAATGATTCAAATCAGTTTAGTCAAGGTCTGGGATAACTGGAAAGCACATTCCAAAACATGCTAGATAGACTAAACTCCTTTAATTTCTTGCTGCCTAAATCAAATCGAAAACTTAAAAAAATTACAAATGCTAATATTTTCATCCATGTTTTCAGAAATACAGATTTTCCAGAGAAAATCTGACTGTTACAAGGATTTTTTCATTCTTATTGTAACAGATTTTCAGTATTTTCAGTACATCTGCATCCTCTTGGCTGCAGCCATTGACTCCCCTCCGCCCTCCCTCCTCAGCTCTCTGTGATTCCTGCAGCTATGGTGAGATGCAGTCTTTCCTGACAAGTACTGTGGAGATCCTTCAAAGAGGCCAGTTCTTGTTTCCCTTTGGGCTTGGGATGCAAATATGGACTACATTTATTGCAGCTGTACAATAAACTTCCTCCATTTCTGCACCTGTGTAAGTGCCCACCAGCAAAAGGTACTGTGGGGTTTATTGTAGTCCTTATAATGAATATCTTTGCATTTTTAGGGAAATTTCACAGAGAGAAACAGCAATGGGGCAGGTGGCCAAGAGCACATATGGCAGCACTGACATAAACATATGAAAATTATATCCAAAACAAGAGGTCCTGTTTTTTTTTTTTTTTTTACCAAAGCAAACACATCCCTGAATTTCAGGGGCAAAGCATTGTCAGAGTGAAGGATGGCAGTTGCATGTGCATGCCATAAAGGTTCTGTAGAGCATAAACAAGCTGTGGGCCATTAAGAGAAGCAAATGGAGCCAAGTGCACCTTTAGCAGCCCAGCAATCTGTGACAGCTCTGAGCTGAGTGTGGCATCTTCCCTTGGAGAGCCACTTGCTGCCTACTGCTGTGCCTTTTGCCTGTGTTCCTTTACTTCTCATTGCCATCAGAACCAAACTACAGCACAGAAAGGAACACAGTCACTGAGCAACCAACCAAAAATCTGCTACAACCTTAATAAAATATATGGGCTCCAATTCTTCCCATAAGGTACAACACCTGAAGGACAATAGCCAACCCTGTGTGAGCTGGGTACGGACATCACCTCACTCCCCGCCTGCTCATGTTCAGGTTTATGAGAATTCCCAGTGCAGACATTGCTTCTGCAGGACTGCAAGTTAGAAAAACTAAAAGCCAGTCGTAATGTTACATCCCATAAGTGCTAAAAGATACATTGCAGATATCTCTGCATCGTGTCAGTCACTTTTAGAGCAAGGTGGAAAATGGTGTCACCAACCCAATGTGTCAGAGTGGGGTTGCTCCCTGGGAGTATACGTCTTTGGGCAGCCGGGCTTTACATTCCCTAAGGGATGGGAATCTCACCACCTCCCTTCCACCACTTCTGCATTCATGCTGAAGATGGTCTTGGGGAGTTTTTTTTACTGTTGCTCAAGTTTTTCCCTGTCTAGTGTTATGCCATTGCGGTTGGTCCTTCTGTCTCACAGTGGGCAGCCCCACTTCGATAGCGCAGTTGCAGTAGAAGAATGAGGATTTCTGTCCTGCCTTTGAGGTTCTTTGGAGATCACTTCTAACGACCTATTTGTAAGAGCTCTTTCCTGAGACAGCGACGTGTGCCTACAGAAACTAAAAACAAACAGACCCTTGGTTAAGGGCCGCTGCCGCTCCCCCAGCGACCAGGAGCACTGTGCCCAAAGGCAGAGCGGTGCCCCTGCTGCAGCCGTGGCAGTACCGCAGCGCCCGTCCGCAATGAGCGCAGCTCCTTCGGCACCGACGAGGCTGGGCGGGTCCCCGGGCGCTGCAGGGAGAGCGCTGAGCCCTCAGCACTGGACGGAAGGCTGAGGGGTGCCGTATGAAGCAGCTAACCCCAGACCCAGCGATAGTTCATGTTTCTGTCTGCCCGCTTTGGACGTTCGGTAGCCCTTTGTGAATAGCGAGCATCACTCCCCCGATCTCGATGCCTTTCAGCGAGCTACGAAAGAAGGGACGGGGCTCGCACAAAGTTGCACAGACGCATTTTTAAGCACTCGACCCGTGCTAGGAGCGCTGGCGGAGCACCGCAGCCCGTCCCGCCCTCGGAATCGCTGCGCTGTCGGAGGGGCGTAGGGCCCCAAGGAGCCTCGGCAGCCGCCCCGGGTCCCGCCGCCTTTGTCCCTGCGCCTCCGCCGCGGGCCCCCCTCCCACCTCTCTCCCCCCTCTCCGGGCCCGACGCGGCCATTGGCGACGGACGGGGCCGGGGCGGGGCGGCGCGGGGCGGTGGCGCCCCATAATAGGGCCCCCAGGGTGGGGACGCCGCTCTTCTTCGCCCGCCGCGCTCCGAGCCCCGCTCCGCTCCCGGATTACAAAGCCGCACCGTTCCTCGCCGCCATGAGCTTCACCAGCAGCAAGAACTCCTCGTACCGCCGCATGTTCGGCGGGGGCAGCCGGCCCAGCACCGGCACCCGCTACATCACGTCCAGCACCCGCTATTCGCTGGGCAGCGCCCTGCGGCCCAGCAGCGCCCGCTACGTGTCCGCCTCGCCCGGCGGCGTGTACGCCACCAAGGCGACGTCGGTGCGGCTGCGGAGCAGCATGCCGCCCATGCGGATGCACGACGCCGTGGACTTCACCCTGGCGGACGCCATCAACACGGAGTTCAAGGCGAACCGCACCAACGAGAAGGTAGAGCTGCAGGAGCTCAACGACCGCTTCGCCAACTACATCGACAAGGTGCGCTTCCTGGAGCAGCAGAACAAGATCCTGCTGGCCGAGCTGGAGCAGCTCAAGGGCAAGGGCACGTCCCGCCTGGGCGACCTGTACGAGGAGGAGATGCGGGAGCTGCGGCGGCAGGTGGACCAGCTGACCAACGACAAGGCCCGCGTCGAGGTGGAGCGCGACAACCTGGCCGACGACATCATGCGCCTGCGGGAGAAGTGAGTGCGGGGCCGGGCGCGGGGCTGGGGCCGGGCGCGGGGCGGGCACCCACCCCTCCCTCACCTCACCCGTGTGTCGCTGCTTGCAGGTTGCAGGAGGAGATGCTGCAGCGGGAGGAGGCCGAGAGCACCCTGCAGTCCTTCCGACAGGTGGGCGCGGCCGCCGCGGGGCGGTGGGGGCGGAGGGTCGGGGCTGGGGCTGAGGGCTGGCTCTGCTCGCACAAAGGCTGCCCGGCTCAGCCCCTTGTTCTCCCCGTTGTTTTCTTTAGGGGGGTGCCGCAGTCCGGGGGGAGGGTGAGGCTATTGTCCCGCTTTATCCCGGTCTGGCCGGCTCCACAAAAGCGCTCCGACGTGGAATCGCTTTCTGATCCAATAGTTGTGAAAAGGCGCAGCC